GGTCGTGCCTTTTATCACGCGAGCAGGCAGATAAATGCAGCAGTTAATGATAAAGTTGCTGTTGTTGCCAGCGATATTCCACTTGCACGCGACGTCGTGTGTGGCTTAGGGCTTGAGCCCAAGGTTGCGAAGCAATCGGTCACATATCTTGGCGTAGATGGCAGTGCTGGTGCCAAGCGCTCTGCTGCTCGTGCGCGTGTAAAACAGCGGTCCCGCCTCTGGGGAATGAAGCTGCGAGTGAAAAAGATCGGCAGGTTTAAGTCCCGAGCTCCGAACAAAGAGACCAAGAAAGGTCTCTCACAGGTCATTCGCACGGGTGTTGCTCCTGCTTCGTCGTACGGTTATGAGGTTTTGGGCTTTTCGGATGCTGAGCTTAACACTGTGCGAAGGACCCAGGCTCGTCGGTTGCCGCCCTCCCATGGAGGGACCAGTGCCACGGCAAAACTCGTTTTGTACGGAGAGTGGGACACACGAGCTGCCGTTGGCCCTGCTCTCCAGTGGTGTCGCATGTTGTGGAATGCCCAGGTCAGTCCCAATCGATCCCTGATCCCTTTCCAGGAGTTGCTTCAGCTTTGGGAGCAGGCCAGGGCTAGCGAGGCTAGCGATTGGAAGTCCAGCCGTGGCCCCCTTGCGCGTGCCACGTTGTCGGCTCGACGTGCAGGCTGGAAAGTGGTTTCAGGCACGCAGTGGATTGACCATTGGGGCTGCACAGTAGATGTGAGTAAGACTCCCCCTCGCCTCCTCCTCGATCTCCTCCGAGAGGGATTGCAGCGAGAAGCGGAGCTTCGTTTTGCACGCAGGTTAGGCACGCGCACGGTATGCGAGCCACTTTCGACCTTGTGCGCAATTGCATGTGTACGCGTAATAAGCAGCACACGCGTCAGCAGCAGTTCCTTCTCTTGTCGTGCGCCACGGATGCGATATGGACCGAGGCGCGCGCGTGTGATGCTGGTTACCTCACGGATGGCATGTGTGTGTGCGGCCAACGTGACACGTTGCACCATAGGTTGTACGCCTGCACGCGTCCTGAGGTGGTGGAGGCCCGACAGTCTCTAGACATTCCGTCGGAAATTTTGAACGAGGGGGCACACAGCGATGATCCTGTGTTTACTCGTGGTTTGTTCACGTTCTCGGATGAAGATGTGCCCCCTCCAGCCACCCACGCTCATTGTGACATCCTCGACGGCGCAGGTCAGGATTTGAATATGCAGCCTGAGGAGCTCGCCACGCTTGCAGGTGATGTGATCGAGCTTGAGATGGCCTCCGACGGCAGCTGCACGAAGCAGGCCCTCCGCTGTCTCCATCGTGCCTCGTGGGCGATCGCCCTCATGGAGCCAGGCAGCGAATCGCTTCTTGCCATCTTGAGGGGCATTGTTCCTGGCGGTCTCCCCCAGACCCCTGCGATGGCCGAGCATGCGGGGGCGGCCCTGGTCGGGCAAGTTTCAGATCGCCCCACGTCGTTGGCCCTCGATTGTAAAGCTGTGATTTGTCAGACGCAGAGGCCCCTCTGGAAACAGCTGAGTGGTTCCAATAAATTTGCTGGTGCGAGGCGGTTTGCCCATGAGCTAGCAGGCACTGAATTTCTGTCCACCTTCCATGTAAAGGCCCATCGAGAGCTCTCTGCCCTTGAGGACTTGGAAGGTGATGATCGTAGGTTTGGTTTTGCGAATCGTGCTGTGGATGAGCATGCCAAGAAGGCCCTTGAGGGCCATCCTCGGCCCCTGCCCACCTTTTTGGACCACGTTGAGCTGTACCAAAATCGAGCCAATGCGTTTATAAAGCTTGCTTCCGAAGTTTTACCCCTCTTCAAAAATGAGGTGCGTTGGAAGCGAGCTGCTTTCACAACCCAGGGTCGTAGTCGTCAGCAGAAGACCTGGCACCTCTGGAGGAGAACCGAACTGGGCATGCAGTGTCGTTATTGTTGGACGGTGTGTGATCGACCCGATCGGCCCATTTTCGGGTGCAGGGGACCGCCTCCTGCTCTCCAGAAGCTGCTGCGCGATCCCCTTGGGCACCAACTCGTCGCCGTGTCGGGCTCGGTTCTTGATGCTCCTCGGTCGGACCTGGTTCTGGGCCCCTGCCGAGAGCAGCAGATTCTGTGTTTGAAATGTGGGGGTTGGTCCCAGGGTAGAGCCCTAAAGCTCGCTGAGGTCTGTGGTAAGCCAACGCGGAAAGGACTGGACGTCCTGAGCCGTTTTCGTCGTGGGCTTGGCCCCAACATGAAGATCAAGGCCTTGATTGAGAAGGCGTTGCCTGTGTCAAGGCTCGATGTTGCCCTTGAGTCGGATGATAAGCCCGAGCTGTGTGTTACCTCAGTCCCGCGAGCATTTGCGGACTCTCCCTCGGCCCCCACTTATGAGCAGCGAATGGCGTCCCTGGTCGCCAGAATTAAAGCTAAAGAAGAGGCAAGAGCCTCCAGGGCGGTTTAACTCGGGCCGATCCCCCCAAGCTTTTGGTGCTGTCACCTCCCGACCTTTCAAGGCGCTGTCCATCCATCCATCCCCCTCGTGACCCGCCTGGACCCCAGGGGGGTAGCATTCCGACCCGGGACTACCCTCCCCCAGCACAGGCGGGACCTACCCCGGGACCCCCCTTCAGGGTTCCCCTCGCCGCCCGCGGGGGGGGACCTCTTTGTCCTCGCCGACGCCTCGGAGGGGGGGCGGAAATCTGACTTGGGACCCCCCCCCTTCCCCCCCCCCACCCGGTTACCCCCCTCCCCCCCCCCGTCAGGGAGGGGAAAAAGGAGAGGGAACCGACGTAATTACGACGTTTTTCCCCCTATTCATTCTTAAATTTCCTCGGGGCTGGCGACGACGACGACAGCGTCTCACACACGCCGAAGTGTCTGCGGATCTTGTTCTAAGCCGCTCGAGGCGAGAAGTTCTAATGCCCCAGCGCCTTACTTCGCTTTTGAGCATAAGAACTGGCATGGCTGCTGATGTTCCCTCCCTCGCCACTCCCTTTCCGCCGCAGCGGGACTTGACGCAGCAGCGTAGGACGGTCCAGAAGTATCTCGATTGTGGATCTTCGAACTTCGGTTTCGACGACGACGACGACGACGACGACGACGGCGACGGCGACGGCGACGGCGACGACGACGACCGACGACGGCGATGGCAACAACGACGACGACGACCACGACCACGACCACGACCACGACCACGACCTCGACGACGGCAACGACGACGACGACGACGACGACCACGACCACGACTTCGACGACGGCAACGACGACGACGACGACGACGACGACGACGACGACGACGATGACCACGACGACGACGACGACGACGTCGACGACGAAGCACACCCTGGGCCCACCAATAAGGCCCCAATAGAGTCCCGAGAGGTCGTCAAGAGAGCCCTTGGAGGTATCACTGTCGCAGGCGTTGAAAGTGACACTTCGAAGAGTCCTCCAGGATCCCTCCTTGGGGCACCTTTTGGGCCCCTCTGGGAGCCCTCTTAGTGCCTCGTTGAGGCCCTCTCGGTGCTTTATTCGAGCCTATCTGGGGCCCTGAGTGGGTCCTGGGAGGTGTCACTTTCACGTTCACGGGCGTTGAAAGTGACACCTCGAAAAGCCCGTTTGGGTCCTTCTTGGGCCCCCTTGGAGCTCTCTTGGCGCCCCCTTGTGGCCCTCTTGAAGCCTTTTCGGAGCCTATCTGGGACCTTAAGTGGGCCCTTTGAAGTGTCATTTTCACGGGCGTCGCATGTGACACTTCGCAAGGCCCGCTCGGGTCCCTCTTGGCCTCTTGGCGCCCCCTTGTGGCCCTTTTGGGGCCTTCTTGGAGCCTTCTTGAGTCCTAAATGGGCCCTGGGAGGTGTCATTTTCACGGGCGTCGTCGGCGGCGGCGTCGTCGTCTTCGTTTTCGTCGCGGTCGTCGTCGTCGTCGTCGTCGTCGTCGTCGTCGTCGTCGTCGTCGTCGTCGTCGTCGTCGTCGTCGTCGTCGTCGTCGTCGTCGTCGTCGTCGTCGTCATTCTCCTCCCTCAGGCGCGCCCGAGCGCCCACGGCTGGATTCCGCAAGACTCCGGGCCGTGATGCGCAGGGAGCCGGGCGCGAATTACTATGTTTCCTCAATCCGGCAATTTTTGATGTTGGAGCCTTTTGAGGTCCGGGAGACCGAGGCTGGAGGTTTTCTGGATTTGGTTTGTTGTTTTGTGTCGTCCTCTTCATCCTCGAACTCCTCCTCCTTCTCCTCCTGCTCCTCCTCCTCCGACTCCACCCCGTCCTCTTCCTCTTCCTCGCTCCCCCCTCGTCGTCGTCGTCGTCGTCCTCCTCCTCCTCCTCCTCGCTGCCTCTCTGGACCTCCCCTAAACCACTCTCACCCGACACTAAGCGCTAATTAGACCAACCAGTCCAGCCAGACCAGATGCAAAAGAAATGCAAAACAAAAAATGCAATGCAAACAAAACTACAATGCAAGGACAACTGAATTTCGGTCGTTGTAGTGGTTGGCGCTGCCTCCTGGACCTCCCCTAAACCACTCTCGCCCGAATCCTAAGCTGAGACTTCAGGACGAAGCTCAAACCAGACCAGCAAGACCAGCCAGACCAGATGCAACTCCAGCCAGACCAGATCTGAAGCTGCAAGCTCAAGCTTAGGGCTGAAGCGTGAAGCCTGTTCTTTGGAAGCCTGGCGCCCCGCCGTGCGCTACACGGCTAAGCACTGAATGGGGAGGAGGGTGGGAATAGGCGGGGGGGCCCTCTGACTCGGTCGGCCTCTTCATTCCTCTTCCTGCTCCTGCTCCTCCCCACGCCCGCTGCCGCGGGCCGCCAGCGGTCGAGGCCCCGATTCGGCCGCCTGGCTGCTCCACTCCACTCCTGTCGTGCTCCTCCTCCCCCTCCTCCCCCCTCTCCTCCCGTCCCTTCTCGCCGCCCGCCTCCTCGTTTTCTCCCGTCTCCTCACGAGGAGCCCTCCCCGTCCTCCCCCTCTCCTCCCTGTCCTTCTCACCGACCGTCTCCTCGCACTTCCTCCGCCTGCCCGCCGTCCCCCTCCCGACGAGGAGCCGGACCCGCTGGGGGAGGCGGACTACTTCATCACGCACCGCCACGAGCAGAGCCTGTGGTCTCTGCTGCTCAAGTGCGCCATTCTGGGCCGGGCGATCCAGGCTCCGCCCCGCCTCGAGGGGCGGTGCATGGTGAAGAGAAGGACGCGAGAGGAAGACGAGGAGGATGAGGATGAGAAGGAGAAGGAGGAGGAGGAGGAGGAGGAGGAGGAATAAGGGGAGGATTAAGAGAAGGACGCAGGAGGTGTTCAGTTTACTGGGAAGGCCTAGCGGCCGGTGCCGCCGACCCTGAAGGGGGACGGCGACGACGGCGGCGGCGGCGGCGGCGGCAGCGGCGACGACGACGACGCTGACGCTCTGGACCTTTCTTGGGGCTCTCTTGGGAGCCTCTTGGGCTCTGTTTGGGCTTGGGCTGGGGCCGCGGCTGGGGCCAGGGCCAGGGCTGGGGCCGGGGAGAGAAGGACGCAGGAGGAGTTCAGCTTAGTTCAGGTGGCCCTGGGAAGCGTTCTGCTCAGACGACGGCGGGCGCCAGCGGCTACACATCTGGGCGTCGCTCTGCCAGCGTTTAGCCAACGCCTGAATAGTCTCCTCCTCCTCCTCCTCCTCCTCCTCCTCCTCCTCCTCCTCCTCCTCCTCCTCCTCCTCCTCCTCCTGTTCGTCATTGCCTCAGGTGATGCCGTTGCTGCCCTTCTTCCTCCTCATCCTCCCCCTTTTCCCCCTCCTCCTACTTCGTTTCCTTTTCCTCCTCCTCCGCCTCCTCCTCGTCTTCTTCTCCTGCTGCGTCCTCCCTCCTTCCTCTCCTTCCCAAGACGGGGTTGACGACGGCGAGGAGGAGGAGGAGGAGGAGGAGGAGCGGGAGCAGGAGCAGGAGCAGGAGGATAAGTGGGAAAGGGGCTGCAACCCCCCATCCCCCATGCCGCCCCTCGCCCCTCCCCCCTTGGCAAGGTCCGGCAGGGCGGCCCGCTCCTGAATCTCAGCGCGCGCGTGCTGATCCTCACCAGCGGCTACGAGAGCTCCCAGCTGGCGAAGTTCTCCCGGCGCGGCGACTGACGCTCGCGGCGCGGCCGCGGGCGACGCCGCTGCGGGGGGGCAGGCGGCGGCGAAGGGACACGCCGGCTGCGGGCGGTGGAGCGGCCGAGCGGCGGTGCTCGTCCTGGTTCTCCTCATGTTCCCTCCTCCTCCGCCTCCTCGCCCTCCGCCTCCTCCTTCTCCTCCTCCTCCTCCTCCTCCTCCTCCTCTTTGTTCTCCCCATCCTCCTCATCATCATCTTTGTTTTCTCCTCCTCCTCCCTCCTCCTCCTCCTCCTCCTCCTCCTCCTCCTCCTCCTCTTCCTCTTCCTCTTCCTCCTCAACAATCTGGCACACAATTCGGGTTCGCTGACACTGCAAAGGTCGACGACTATTTGCCGCTAGCCTTATGTTTACGTGGTGGCAAAGTGGCGACAAATGTCATTTGCGCTCCCCAGAGCAGACCGAGTGTTCAGTGACCAGACCGGGGTACCAGAAAAACTAAGACGGTCAGCGCTGCAGGGGGGAAAGATGAGCATAAGCGCTCTTAGTAATTTGACTTTTCGTCGGCATGGTGTCTCCAAGCCTTTCGCTTCGTTGGCCGCTCGCACAGGATATGGGCTCGGAACACGGGCGCCGTCGGGCCTGAGATATTTGCTTGCGGTACGGGCAACAGCATCTTTAGCGGAATCATTCACGATACATGTTTGAGATGTTCATTTTGTGTATCATGTTCCATGTTCTACTTTGTGGTTTATTTCTGAGTTTGCAAGCAACGACACGCATGTCACTTGCATTATGCTTGAGCATGCGCCTTGCGATGTTAGGGCTGGTGCTGATGCGCGCCAAATGTGTAATTAACAATTCGTTTCGTGGAAATGTGTACGCGGGCACCAAGCGTGTGAGGGGTGTGCCGAAGTGAGGGAGATGTGGCATGCGAACGCAGCCATTGGGGCCTCTGGTGGAGCATCTAGGGGGCATGACACGCGCAAAGTTCGTGCCAAAGGGGTGGGGGTGCGGACGAACGCAGCTACTGGTGCCTTCGGTGGAGCTCCCTATGGGGCAACCAAGCGTGTAAGGGATGTGTCAAAGTGAGGAGGGCTGCAGCATGCGAACACAGCCATTGGGGCGTGCCCAAAGTGAGGAGGATTGCGGCGTGCGAAGGCAGCCATTGGGCCGTGCCAAAGAGAGGAGGGTAGCTGCATACGAACGCAGCCATTGGCGCTTTCGGTGGAGCTCCCTGTGGGGCAACGAAACGTGTGGAAGTGTTGCCAAAGGGGAGGGGGTGGCGGCATGCGAACGCAGCCAATTGGGCCTCAGGTGGAGCTCCCCATGGGGCCACGAAACGTGTGACGGGTGTGTCAACATGAAGGGGGTGGCGGCATGCGAACGCAACCGCTGACTGCATGTGGAGTTCATGATGTGGCCACGAAACGTGTGAGGGGTGTGCCAACATGAAGGGTGAGGCGGCATGCGAACACATCCATTGAGGTTGCGTGTAGAAATCCGCGATGGGGCGACGAAGCGCACGAGCGGTGTGCTAAAGTGAGGGGGGCTGCGGCATGCCAACGCAGCCATTGGGCCCTTAGACGTGGCTCCTTCTGGGGCCACGGAAAGTCTGAGTGGTGTGCCCAAGCGAGGGAGAGGCGACATGCGAACGCAGCCATTGAGGCTGCAGGTGGGGTTCACTATTGAGCCACGAAACGTGTGAGGGGGGGGGGCCAAAATGAAGGTGGTGGCGGCATGCCCACGCAACCATTCAGGCTGGAAGTGGAGCTCCTTATGGGGCGACGAAACGTGTGAGCGCTGTGCCAAAGTGAGGGGGGGTGCGGCATGCGAACGCAGACATTTGGTTCTTGCATGTAGCTTGTTTATGGGACCACGAAACGTGTCTGGGGTGCGCGAAAGTGGAAGGGGTGGCGGCTTATGAGCGCAGCCACTGAGGTTGCAGGTGGAGCTCATTGTGGGATCATGAACCATGTAAGGGGTGTGTCAACATGAAGGGGGTAGCGGCATGCGAACGCAACCACTGAGGCTACAGGTGGAGCTCTGAATGGACCCGCGAAACGTGTGACGTGTGTGCCAAAGTGAAAAGGGGGTGTGGCATGCAAACGCAGCCATTGGATCGTTACGTGTCGCCCCCTTATGGGGCCACGAAACGTGTAAGGGCTGTGCCAAAGTGTGGCGGCATACGAACGCACCTATCGGGGCCGCACGTGGAGTTCCACATGGGGCAACGAAATCTGCGAGGGGTATGCCACATGCGGACGGCAGAGGCAAGGACGGGAGGGAGGAGGGGGAGGAGGAGGAGGAGGAGGAGGAGAAGAGTGGAGCGAAGTGACGCGGGACGTTGTCTCTTTACAACGAGAATCCAACTCAATTCAAGACGGTTTGGAAATTAGCCTAGCGAAGGGTTTAACCATATGCAGTTGAGGGCACCGTCGCTGAATGCACCGCATTCAGTCGAGCTCCCCATGAGGCCACGACAAGTCTGAGGGGTGTGCCACAATGGGCGCGCCGGCCGCATGCTAGCGCTGGCATATGTGCCTTCGGTCGAGCTCCTTATGGGGCCACGCAACGTGTGAGAAGTATGCCAAAATGGGTGCGCCAGCCGCATGCGAGCGCTGGACGCTGAACCTTCGGTGGTGCTCCCTATTGGGGCACTCCCGTGACCATTTTACTCGGATGCTGCAGGATTTCACCAATGAGCTCGTTGCGTTGAGGATGTCTTGGAAACCGTCCTCATGTGCCATTCTGGCCACAGCGGATCGCGGTCCAGTCACAGTGGCGCAGCATGGGATATACCTGGCAGTGTTGGCAGTCGATGTCCTGGAGGTGCTCGGCACAATGGTGAGCGCAGACGGGTCGTCCGTCCTGGCGCTGAGGCACCAGCTACCCAAGGCAACGGCGTGCTTCTGGGCCCACAGCGCGGTTCTTACAGCACCAGGGGTTTCTCTCAAAACAAGGATGGCCGAGTTCGCGAAGAGAGTTCAACCGGTTGCCCGGTATGGAGCGGCTGCGTGGACGTGGTCCAAGTCCATTCATAATGATTTTCACAGGTGGGAAAACGCTATCTTGCGACGCATTGCAGGACTTCGACGACGGCCAGGAGAAGACTTTGTACGGAGCGTGCAACGCCACACGCGAAGAGCAAGAAGTATCTTGGGCACGTGAGTCTTGCTACGCAGTTTTTGGATGATTTGCATCGGCTTGCTGGTACAAGCTTTGCCCGACTATATGCGAGCGCACTTCCTGAAAGCATTACGGCTGCCTCTTGCACGGATTTCTCAGCAATCGTTTCGTCTGTTATCGCCACGCCCGCGGTCGTGTTGATCGGCAGCCAGTGTTTCCTTCTTGCCTGCATCATGTGGTGCGACATCCAATGGTGGGGGTGGCGCCAAGCCGTGGGGGAAGCAATAGACCCAGCAGAGAGGCGCGAACCTTGGCGACACAGCAGATGTGGCCATCACCGTCGTTGGGAAAAAGTGTTCGTCGATGTGTTTGGACGGCACCGGAAATCCATTGCTGCAACGAGTGGGTGGCTGGGGTCAGCAGAAAGGAAGTTTTAGGCAGAAGGTCGGTTCGCAGCTCTTGAAGACAACCCCACCCAGAGGCGCGGCCGCAGGAAAGCCGCCCCTGCGGGGGGCGGACAGGCTCAGCTACTTCCACAGAAGCGCCCTCGCATCGTCGTCCGGGAGCCCGTGCACTGGGAGGCAGTCGGCGGCGCGAGCGTGAGGATCCAAATGTTGAGGGACAGCGCTCTGATCATTCATTGGGCCACTTTTTTAAGGAAGTGTCAGTACGCGGTCTACGACTCCCGACTCAGCGTTGCACACCACACAATCGCGATGCTTGTGGAGGCCCACGACGCCCTCCCGAGGCATTGCAGCGCAGAGTGGGCACGGCACGTGTACCGCGAACTCAACGCAGGGGCCAACGAACTGGCGAACCGACATTGTTTCAAGTACCAGCAGTACTGCTCTGTGGATGGCTTTCGTTATTTCCGTATCTATTTCGATGGCAGCGTTTCTGACGGCGGCGTTGGCGGAGGTTGGGTGCTGTACGGTTCTCGGCACCTCACCACGGACGCCCCGGAGGACTGGAGCAAGATTGCCGATTTGAGTTTCGGGCTACGTGGTGGTGCTGCAGTTGCAGCGACTGAACTGGAGCCCTGTGTGTGGGTCATCGTTTATCTAGGTGATGCGTTGCAGGGCCCTGCCACGGCGAATTTCAATCCTGAGCTCTGGCAGCCTATCGATACCAGTCCTCCCCCCATCCTCTCCCTTGCCGGTATGCTAGACGTGTAGTACCATTTCGGACGACTGTTGTTGTTTTGTCCGATAACTCGTGGTAGGCATAAACGGAGCACGAATGATGTGGCAATCGAGCTGTAGCCAACGTTTGCCCAGATTGTGCCGTCCCTGTGCTTCTGCCCTGCGCGTGCTCAGACATGGGCTGCACCGCGCTTAAAGTTAAAAGTTAAAGTCCCTGTTGGGCCACGCAACGTGCGAGGGGTGTGCCACAACCGGTGCGGCGGCCGCATGCGTGCGCTGGCACTTGGACCCTCGGTGGAGCTCCCTATGGGGCCCCGCAGCGTGTGAGGGGTGTGCCAAAATGGGTGCGCCGGCCGCATGCGCGCGCTGGATTCTGGGCCTCTGGTGGAGCTCCCCATGGGGCCACGAAGCGCGCGAGGGGTGTGCCACAATGGGTACTGCGGCCGCATGTGAGCGCCGGCATTTGGGCCTTCAGTGGAGCTCCCCATGGGGCCACGAAGCGTGTGAGGGGTCTGCGAAAATGAGTGCGGCGGGCGCATGCGCGCGCTGGCATCTGGGTCTTCGGTGGTAGCTCCTATGGGGCCACGAAGCGTGTGAGGGGTGTGCCAATTTGGATGCGGCGGCCGCATGCGCGCGCTGGCATCTGAGCCTTCAGTGGAGCCCCCCATGGGGCCACGAAACGTATGAGGGGTGTGCCGACATGGGTGCGGCGGCCGCATGCGCGCGCTGACATCTGGGCTTTGATGGGAGCTCCCCATAGTGCCACGAAACGTATGAGGGGTGTGCCATAGTGAGGAGGGTGACGGGAGGAGGGGGGAGGGGGAGGAGGAGGTGAGAAGGGGGGGGGGGAGGAGGAGGAGGAGGAGGAGGAGGAGGAGGAGGAGGAGGAGGAGGAGGAGGCGGAGGAGGAGGAGGAGGAGGAGGAGGAGGAAGAGGAGGAGGAAGAGGAGGAGGAGGAGGAGGGGGAAGAGGAGGGGGAAGAGGAGGAAGAGGAGGAGGAAGAGGAGGAGGAAGAGGAGGAGAAGAAGGAGACGCGGGGATCTCTCTTCAAAACAAAGACCCAGCACTACAAGATGACTGGGACAACGGATTTCCATTAAATCCCTGTTTTCAGGCGGACTCCATTTGACATTTCGAACCCAGACGCCAAGAGCCCCTGAGAACCCCCCGAGGCGCGCACAAGAGCACAAGAAGTCCCATGCCAGGAGACCCCCATCAAAAACCGAAGAGATCCACGGCGTAGGTGCTTTAACCCAGCACCGATGGGGACGCGATCCCGATGCACCTTGGGAGGGCGACCGACGAACAACCCAGCCCGAGGCGAACCCCCCCCCAAGCTCCGTCCAGGCTTTGTTTTGGTTTCGGGAGCCGGGGAAACAGAGCATATCGAATCGTTCCAAATATGATATATTGTTTTGTGGGCGGGTAGGGTTTGGGACAGCGAAACAATACATGCACGCATTGGATCCACCAAGCCGTCCACGACCGCTTGCGGACAATGAGGCGGGAAGTTAAGGATAATTCAACAGACCGAAAGCACACCTCAGGATCACCCATTGCTCGACAAGTTTCGCTTTCAACACTATCAGGACGATCCACGGCGTAGATGCTTTACCCCAGCACCGGGGGGGTGACGCGATCCCCAGGGCGACCGACGAGCAGCCCAGCCCGAGTCCGATTTCCCCCCCCCCCTCGAGGTCGCAGGTGAAGCGCCGGGACCTTGCGTGATTGCTCGATTAGTTCCGTTTTCGCACATTCTCGAAACCAGTGTTGTTTATCGACATATACGATCAAGCCACGGCCGCCGAGTCCAATCGCTAAAGATTTGAATGTCTGCGATGCGACAGGCGGGCTGGACGGCGGAGCTTAGTTAGTGTTGAAAGGAACTGTTTTTTTCAACCTGTCGAGGAAGGATCAGCGCACACATGTTGCAATACAACTTCCTCTTTCCATCCTCCTTGGGTTTGCATGCGAAAGAGTGTGTGCTAATGCAGCCGTCTCGGAAAAAATGTGTGACGAATTTGTGCCACAGGTCGGAGCTCACAGGGAGCTTTTGGCCCCGTAGTCGAACAGGAACAGTTTGACGTGTTAGCGCCTGCTTGAGAATGCAAGCGTAGCCAATCAACAATGCACTCAGGCGAAAGATTGCCAACCTTTGAGAATAGAATCCGACACCATTGTCTTTTGCTGGGCGGGTCCTTATTCTTCCGAATGTCCAAACGCAGCATGCTACGCATTCGGTTTGGAGCGCTACCCCAAGAAGGCCACTCGATCGATGGACGAGACCTAACGCCAGACCTTTGCGAAGATTAGGGTGGGTGGTGCAGGTAAACGAGCCAACTTTGGGAGGTCGGCAGCTTGTCTGCTAAACCGTCCATACACTTCAGAACCAAGGCAACAGAGAGCGCCCAAGCCATTGCTCAGTACTTTTGTTTTTTTGTTATGTTCAAGTAGTTGCAGCCAGCAATTAGCCCCATATGTTAGCATGTACTTTAGATAGGCAACACAAAGGTTACATCGCAAAAAAGCGGTAACCTTTGTGCAACGTTCAAAAAGGCGCGATGATGTCCATACAGTGCAAGGGCATAGGGATTTGCGTAGTACTCGGCATTCGTTGGATGTTGCGATGTGGGGTGCGAATTCTTATTTCTACGAAGACTTGTCTCCACAACGGAACGATGCCCTCCAAAGTATAAGATTGTTCCGATGTTCCGCTAATTCCATCAACCGTCCCCTTTCGCTGCTTGTGCCATTGCTAGGCGTGGATGGAACACAGTGCCGGGGAACTGCTTTGAACATCACCAGTCGTTCAAAGCAGTGCCCCGGCACTGCTTTGAACGATGCGGAAATGCGATCAGCAGGAGCCTTCGTCTGTTCCTTCTCCTCTTCTCGTCGCTGTATGCTCTTCCTTGTCCTCCCTCCTCCCCCGTTCCCTCTCTAATTAATTACCTCGTTCTCCCAGTCTCACGCGCACTCTTCCTCCCCCCTCTCCTCCTCCTCTTCCTGCTTCTCCTCCTCGTCCTCCTCCTCCTCCGCCTCCTCCCCCTCATTTGTTATATTTCTCCGTCCTTGTCCTCCTGTCCCCGTTCTCCTTCTCCCTCTCCTCCTCCTCCTCCTCCTCGTCGTCGTCGTCCTCCTCCTCTTCCTCCTCCTCCTCCTCCTCCTCCTCCTCTTCCTCCTCCTCCTCCTCCTCCTCCTCCTCCTCCTCCCTTCTTCCTCCTCCTCCTCCTCCCCCTTTTCCTCTCCCTCCTCCTCCTCCTCCTCCTCCTCCCCCTTCCCCCTCTTCCTCCTCTGCTATCACTCCTCCATAATTCCTGTCCGCTCCTCCCCTTCACTGATCTTCCTCTTCGTCATCATCATCCCTTTCGTCGCACGCCTCTTAATCCTCAATCGGTTCCCAATCTTCTCGACTTTCTTGTCATCCGCGTCCTTGGCTGTTGGAGGGGCCTCAGGAATTCTCAGGGCTCTTGTGTTGCACGCGAAGGCACACCTCCCAGGAACGCATCATCCTCCTCACATTCACCCTCCTCCTCCTCATCCTCCTCCTCCATGCACGTTCGGCTCAAGCCCGCGCCGACGGTAGGTTTCACGGCGGTTGGGCGGGCTCGCGCCCGCCTCCGCGGCCTGCAGTCGGGGCAGAGATGCGTGCAGGGTGGGATGACAAAGCGGAAGAGGAAACACGGGCCGCAGTTGCGGATTCTTCAAAGAGCAGCGGCGGCGGTTGGGGAACAAGTGGGGGTTGGGGCGGCCGCAGTGGCGGATACGGCGGCGGAGGTGACCGCAGTGGCGGCTGGGGCGGCGGAGATTCTCTTGGCGGATGGAGAGGAAAAGCGCAGGATGGCGGCGACGGAAGTGACCGCAGTCGCGGATGGGAGGGCGGCGGATGGGGCGGCAACGGATGCGAGGGTTGGGGAATGGAGGGCGCCCGCTGGTGGGACGACGAGGGTGGCTGGTGGAATGCATGGGAAGGTGGCCGCTCGAGTGCCTCGGCAGGTTCTCCTGCCGCGGAGCCCGCGGCCGCAACAGCGGCGGGCAAAGGAGGCGGTCCCCTGCTTCCCCCAGGGCGCGAAGAACAAGGCGCAGTTGCGCTGTTTCAAATTGTGCGCAATGAGCCGCTGCCAATTTTCAAGTTGGAATTCTTCGAGAACTTCAGGGCGAACTGGAACGGCAATTATAAGCAGCACAACGCGGCCTTGAAGTGGTTCCGAGACGAGTACGAAGACCGAGAAAACCCTTTCGGCAGCCGCACGCCCGTCTTCGGAGGTACCGCAGTTGCGGAGGAAATTTCGAAGATCCTTAAGTACCGCGCAAAGGGGAAGGCGCAGGACAACAGGGATTGGGACTGGGACCACACTGTCAAAGTGCCGTGGTCTTGGCTGGAGATGGTCGCGCAGATGGATGGACCTACAATGCTGCGCGTCGTGTGCGGCCCTGACAATGACCGCAGTCGCGGGTTGGTCCGCTGCGAGTGCCGCCCGTGCCCTAGCAGTCTCGACAACATGAGGCACACGAAAGGGGTGGACAGAGGACAGGCGCAAAGAATCCCTCTGCCCCAGTGGGATTTCGTCCTCATCCGCGACGACGGCTCGGGCATTCGCGTCCACCCATCCTGGTCTAGCCCGAAGTTCAACACGTATGAGGTGGAGCCGCACTCGCATCCCGTGCGGGGCCCGAGGGCAGGTCTCGGCAAGAGCGATGGCCACGGAACGTTCACGTTCTGGAAGATGCTGCACGCCCATCCGAATCCTGGGCGGTTCGACGCGAGCAAGGGGGCGCAGCTGCAACCGCGGTGGTCCGCGCAGCCTTGACACCGCAGTTGCGGGATTGCGCAGCCATGGAACCGCAGTTGCGGGGACCGATCGCGTGACGCCGCGCTCGTTTGACTCACTATGCGCGCTTTCGGCCGCAGTTGCGGCGCTGCCTTCTAGCGACTTCATACAGCTTGGCCGCAGTTGCGGCGCTCCCACGACTGACCGCTGTAATTAGGTGCTTCGGGCGCGCATCACCTCCGTTGAAGCACTCGTGACGTTAATTAGCGCGGCCGCAGTTGCGGAGACAGGTACTTAAACAGATGGATCCGCAGTTGTTCGTCGTCCTCGTCGCCCCTTCCCCGTCGTCCTCGTCGCAGTCTCCTCCCTCCGCCTTTCCTCCTCGTCGCAGTTCCTTCCGTTGGCCGTAGCCCGCCTCCGT